CATATTCACACTCTGAGATCGAGACATAATTGTAACCTAGAGCAATCAATTCTTCATGCTTATTATCGGTATATCGTCTCAAAGACTTATAAGGGACACCATGATAATTAACGGCATCATCGTCTTTGCATTGTTTACACCCATGGAATTCACAACCATTAAATTCATACACAGTATTTGTCGAAGGAGAATAGCCATCGGCATAGAATTTTTTCCCATTTAATCGGTCAATCCATTTCTCTCCACCACGTAGAACACGTCGCATATCCAGAATGCCATTATCGCGTAGATATTCGAGCCACTGGACAGCCTTGTCTGAATGACGCCGCATTCCTTCTTCATGATGTGTGGGTATGCTTTCTTCAGGCATGAACATATGCCTGTAAGTCCCCATACATGCCGATGCTATGGTTTTATAAGCCCAAGGATCAATTTCACCATCGGTTGCTACAAGGAATTGCTCTCGGAACAATTTCACGGCCGCTGCTAGAATATCGACATCATTCTTGCAGTATTCAACAAGTTCCTTAGTGTAATCAAAAACATACCTACCCTTCATGCATTTGCGTAGGGTTTTCTTGTACCAGCGTTGTGCATCAGCGCGTTTATCATAGGGCATACTGTCAAATCGGAAATCATCCAAAGATGGTAAAACGCCTTTATAATCATTTGAACATTTGAACCAATGTGGAAAGTAACCCTTACGAACATGTTCCTCTAATCCAAACATGGAAGGCAACTTTGACAGTCCCATAGGCAAAAACAACATGCTATCAATGAACCGGATGTTGAACTTGGGCAGCACCATTGAAATGATCTTCAACCCATTTGAGATATACTTAGGCTTAACACCGTTGTCATTGAACTTTTTGAAGAGAAAGTGGAAATCGTAACCCTTACCATTGTGAGCAATGAATGTTGTATTAGGGTTCTTGAAGATGAATTGATAAAAAGCGTCAAATTCAAAGAAGGAGTGATGCTCATGACATTGGCACACAGATTGGCATAGACCGGTACAAACTACCTTGCAATCCGTAAACTTTACACGATGTTCACCATCATGTAGAAACTCTGATTCAAAATCAAATGCTATGATCTTGCTAATGTGCTTTCTGGGTTTCTTTTTCTGTATGAAGCATCGATGGTCAGGAGTGACATAAGCCTTGCAAGGACGGCAGAGATGGTGGTTGCAATCGTGTAACTCAGCACAATTACCATCATAATAAGCACGCTCAAATACACGCCCGCAGCCGCCTTCCTTGTTACATTTCCATATTTTATCACATTTTTTCTCCTTGTGATAATCATCACAATCTCCTGAAAAGTGACCTAAGTTACAACTTAAACACAACACTAGATCATCGGGAGATCCTTGTTTACATGTGACCCAACCACAAAGGTTGCATCCTCGTTTCTTATCACATTTATGATTGGTATGCTTGTGTCCTTTCATGCATTGGAAACAAAAATACAATGCACAGTAAAAGGCGTTAATCTTGGTTATGCAATCGAAATGATCCCCTTTACGTAGGATAGTAGCAGGTTTCTCATCGTATCACTCATTGTTAACACCTTTGACCATGAGAGGTTTACCACCGTTCTCTAGATCAACAATAATGATGTTCCTTTTGAGGAATGAAACCAACTTTGGAAAATCGCCGTAAGACATCTTCTGACCAACAGGTAACCCGCATCCTTCATAATAGTTAGTAACAATTTTGTCCAGTGGCTTTCTTTGTTTCATGATGTACGCATATTCATTTGTTGAGTGATCCATTGTATGGAATGCTACGGATAAGGCAACTGCTCTCATACCACAATCGTTACCATTGTTTTTCACAACAATGACACATCTTTTTGACTGTGCTGATAGATGGTCATGATAGTTTTTGAAGGCGCCGCCCTTTACCGAAACTAAACGACGCACCTCGATAGTCATGCTTTCATCGATTGATGCTATTTCAGCCGATTGCATTCTCGCAGTAATATCGTCTATCACATCAGAAGCAATCAGATCACTAACTGATACAACTTTTGATGACCAAAATCCATTGTGTAGACTTTGATGTTGAAACCCTATTTGCACTTTGTCACCGCGTTCAAGGCCTACAAGTGATTCCTTGATGACATCATTGAAAAATGAAACAATATCATCATGAGTAGCGAAGGTGTACTTTGGATTGAACCGATAAAGTTCCTTTGTATAACCGATACCTTTGATTTTGATCTCTTTGACAGATATTAAAGGTGAGAATGATTCTTGATGCTTTCGAAGATTATACTTACGTTTAGCCCTAGTGGCAGCAGCCTTCTTAGCGGCTTCCTTTCGCTTTTTAATAGCAGCCTCAGCCCTCTCTTGAATTTCTCTCATCTGACGCTCTTTTGCTTCTTTATTAAGCCTTCTCGTCTCTCTGGCCTTTTCAGCAATAGCCTGCTTTTGAGCCTCAGTGCGTCTCGCAGCAGCCTTCTTAGTGGCTTCCTTTCGCTTTTTAATAGCAGCCTGAGCCCTCTCTTGAATTTCTCTCATCTCGCGCTCTTCTGCTTCTTTATTAAGCCTTCTCGTCTCTCTGGCCTTTTCAGCAATAGCCTGCTTTTGAGCCTCAGTGCGTCTCGCAGCAGCAATTCTTTTTTCTCGCTCAGATTGTAGGAATCTTGGTACTCGATGTATTTGAAGGTTCTCTAGTGCATCTAGTTGTTTCTTAGTCCAGTTTTCACTAGAGAAGTTTCCAGATACAATCTTTCGCATCATCCTCTCAAAAGGCTTCGAGTCTTCTTTTACGTGTCTGTTGGTGATTGGGTTAAAAATCAAAGGCATAGTAAATAGAAATATATAGTGTTAAAAAATAAATATTTTCAAAGCTTTAAACGTATTTGTTCTTCAAATGATGCCGGGCGCGGAGCGGCCAATCCCGGCAGGGATGTTCATGCGAAGTGAGCAACTTTTACTGGATCATCAGGAATAGCCACTTTTCGATTTATTTTAAAGCATCTCCGCTTAGGACGAGGTGGTGGTTTTCGTATACATGGTAACTTTTCTATAGCATACATCTTTGAAATAGGCGATTCTGCTAACCCATGTATTATATTATGAATGTACGAGCGCGAGACACCTAACCTGTTAGCAATCTCTATGGCTGCCCGATAGTCATTTACAAATGTTCTAGAACCATCTTCTTCGATCTTGTATACCCTGTAGCGATCCTTCGTGTTTATCGATCCTGATTTGCGTCCCATGTTAAAATATATTGTGTATACAAAATATTATTTCTCTTTGTTTAAACGTGTGTGTTTATTAGCAAACGTTGTACAAAAGCTCTATAACAACGCCCCTACATGACGCTAAACAAAGGGATATCTATGTACATTGTGCTACGAAACACCTTTACAGACTGTTTTTGTCGTTTTGTATTTTTTTTCTGGTTTTGTTGTTTTGTAATTTTTTTGTTGATTTCATGGATTTTTTAGCGTGTGTCAACGGTAATTGAAGAGAATCAAGCAGCGGCGCTACTGCTTCCTACATCTGGAGGATTGATAACATCAGCATGGACAATGTCCTGATCGCTCACTTTAGCCTTGACGCTCTTTCTGCGCTTAGGAGTGCTAGCTGCTAGGAGTGCGTTAATCTGCATCTGTTGCCGCTCGAGACGCTCCATGAGCGATGGCTCTAAATTAGCGGGTTCCCCATCATGCTCAGGGCTTGACCGCTTGACACATCTGCGTTTAGCCTTTTGTGGACTGTAATCGCTGTCATCGGCATCATCGGAATCATCGTCAGAACCAGAACTCAAGGTTTCACCATCAGACTCGAAATCTTTGAACTTTCTCTTTAACTTGAGAGATGAAGATTTCCATTTATCCTCTTCTCGCTCCTTCCGCTCTAGGAGTCGTCCCAGATGACCTTTAAGTGATCTTAGCAACCCCTTGTCTTTCTTAACCCTTTTCTTATTATCAGTTATATTTTCTAATAAACACTCGCTTTGCTCGAAGGTGAGATCCTCTAGTTCAGTCTTGATAGCACGACGCGCTAGGGGATGTAGCAAGCCTCCGACATAGCTAGTCGCTTGCCCCCATTGACTCTTTGACATGGACATGTTTCAAATTCGGTTAGGTGTTTCAGAAAATGTAGCTATGTTTCAGATTCGGTTAGATGTTTCAGAATTATGGCGTGTGTTTCAGAACACGTATCGGATGTTTCAGATTCGGTTAAATGTTTCGAATCATACCTGATATTTCAAACCCGTACTTGTGCTAATGGGAGAAAAGATACACCGAGTGCCTTTTTATGCCACCGGCTTGTACTCAGGGATGCCCTTCCATTCAATGGAAAGAATCTTGGCATCCCCTGCCGGGATAGGCCGCTGCGCCCGGCATAGTCTTGGCATTTCTTGGCGCCGTTTTTTTAAACATAAACAACACGCCTCACGACTCTTCCAGAACCGTAGCGTCGCTTACGTGTTGCTGCGGCTTTTCTAGCAGCAATGATGTGCCTGTTTCTTGCACGAGCAGCCGCTCTAAGTCCTTTATTTGGCATAGCCGATATGTTGACGAGTTTTCTATGGGATTTCTTAGCCATAATGTGATTCAATATTAGGTAGTCCTATACATATGTGAAGAATATAATTGTTCGCATTACTATGCCGGAACCAATCTAATACCATCTTTGTCGATGCTCATCACATGATCAGTAGTCCAAAATACATGAAACATCTTGTTCTTGAATGTAGGAATGTAAGCGGGGTTAGGCGATGTCGTTTGTGAATCTCCGGTTCCTGTAGTTATAGTTTCGCTTGGGAAATCGGCTGTTTCTGGAGGATTTGGATATTGAGAAACATTGATTAAAATTCGTCCATCGGCTAGAGTCTGAAGACCGCTGCCAATCATGTCTGGGGTTTGCTTGAAATTTTGTCTCCATGACCAATGTTTTATCTTTTTGCCTCCTAGATCCCATCCTTTCAAATCAGACATAGTGGGCGCAAACTTCACATCATTGAAATCCTTGTTACGTTGACTCAATGCATACATCTCAGGGTCAATAGTAGAGACAAATCCTGTTTTCTCAGAGCCATGTCCAATAGCCTTCCCTTGTGGGAACCGTTCCATTCCTACTTGCATAGACACTGTTCTAATACCTGCATCGTCCGAATAATTCAGTTTGTCTACATCTGTTAGAACATTGTCAGTTGTCACCAACATCAATGACGAAACAGAGGACTGCTCACCTGTTACAAGCGAGAGTTGTTGTACTCAACTATCTTGTCCTGCAAATTCTTGACTCCATACTATTTGAGTGGGGATAGTCAGGGGTGTAGGATCCTCAGCCTGCATCAAAGCAAGCACTTTATCATAGTAAGCCTTGACCGGTTCAGCAAACTGACATATTAATTTGTTTTGTTCTACTTTGAAGGACGTAATCCCTGTGGATTTTGGGAATATTTTGGAAAGGTCTGTCTCGGCGGTCATCTCCAGGCTTACTCCTCCTTTCACAAGACAGAGAGGAAAAGCCACTTCATTTTGAAAGAATGATAGCAATGACCCGGTAACGGTGTATGCGTTGTTTTGAGCGACCACTGCTGAACGGTTGTTATCCTCACTTGAATAATACTCGCATTGGCCTAGATGTTGTTTGGTTTCCCATGATGTTAAGGCATTTTCATGCACAGTGAACAAATTATAGTCATTGAGATCTTCAATGATCCTTCCATTAATCAGGAGAGATTGACGTTTCCATACAGCATCAGTTCCAGATTGACAGAGCCTGTAGTCAGCATTAACTGCTACTGCTGGCAAACCATCTGCTTTTAAGCCGACTACACGATATTTGTGCAGCGTTTCATTAACGAGCCAGAAGCGCTTGTCGTCTGCTATTTTAAAAACTAGTTTCCCGCCTGGTCGGCAATCTCCACTTCCGTTTGTTGGCTCGAAGCGAACCTGACTAGATGGCTGGAAGTTTAGAATGACTCCATTTTTTGCGGATCTTTTATAAGTAAATGCCGATGGGACACGTCTGACCTCTGTTACTTCAATATCGGATGACATGGTTTACTTTACACATCTAGAAAAAAAAAAGTCGTTATGAAAAACCAACTCTAAATGGTCGTTTCGAACTTTGTAGATTTATGTGCACAAAATGAAACAGTTTCTTTGTATTATCCATAACGAACTTTTCAAATACATCTTCAGGTAAAGCGAGAGATAAGCCTGCTTCGACCATTTTCTTAAGTTCGCTTTTCAAAGGTCTAAAAATGATCCAGTTTGTTGCATTGCTACGTACAGCGGGACTATTGTGATAAAAATATTGACTCGACAGGATGCAAGTGATACCAGCATGCCTTCCACAAGTTGCCAACTCATCGAGTGACTTCTTATGTCCCTTTTGCATGTTGTAGTCATCTATGATTAGAAGCAGGTCTCGTTTTCTTCCACTTCGAACAAATTCATAAAGTTGCTCTTCGTGTATAAAATTGAGTATTTCATTGGAAATCTTGTCAAATATATGAACCTTTTTGCTCGTTCTTAAGGGGTTCCAATTGGTGTCATGCGGATTTGGTGTGAATATTATGATATTCGAATACTGCTTCTTCAAGAACAATTTGCATATCACAGCAATGTTTAGCGTTTTACCGCTAAATCGAGCGCCATTGTATATGATAAAACCATACTTTCTAGGAAGCCGTGGATCTGTATTATCCTTTATGCATCCAGAGACTTGACTAGGTAAAGGGGCTATTGTGATTGGCTTCATTGCACTTGTTTTTATTTGCTCTCTGTATCTATAATACATTAGAAGAAATGAAAAAGTTGATTCTCGATAGCAACAGGGCGACGAACAGAAACAAGAATGAACCTAAATGGACTCTAGCCAAACCCATCGCATGTGATAAAATTCAATACAATTCGATCATTTTGCCCCTTTCGTGGAACATAGTAAATGACAAGAACAATATTGTCTCCTTTTATGATGCTGGGATGGGTAATGCTGCAAGGACTTTTGCTATTCCTCCTGGTACTTACTCTCCAGATGATTTAGTGGATGCACTGACTGCTGGATTCAACTCGACTGGGACGCAAGCATACACTGTAGAATACAATCATATAAACAGTCAAATAACAGTGACCGCGGGTACAACACCATTCAAAGTTCTCTACCCTCAAACAACAGCGAGCAAACTGCTTGGATTAGTTCAGACGCAGCAATCTGACCCTGGGAGATCAATAACTTTCGCGAATCCAATCGATTTGACAGGTGTTAAGATGGTGCTCGTCTCATCGACAAACTTATGTTCTAGCGATGTTATAGTTGCTGGAGCCGATGATCTAAATATTCTAGCATCGATTCCAATAAGCCAGGAAATAGACACCGTGCTGTGTGCGCAGAATTATTTCGATACCAACTTCATTGACACAGAGTCAGGCCTTGTTAGTACCATCAACATCCGTTTGCTTGATGCTGAAATGCTATTACCGATTGATTTACAGGGCAAAGGGTTCACTTTGGTTCTCGATTGTCATTCCTCCGGCTTTGCAGATGATTAATTTTTTTTCATTTGGAACATGTAAAAGATGTTGCGTCAAAAATTTGCAAACTTTCTCTCAAGTGCAAAGAACTTTGGTCTTCGGGCGTTGAACAGTTACAGCAAAGTAAACAATGGAATTTGACAATTTGTAAACCATGCCGGCCAAGCCAGAGATATTTATGGAAAGGTTCATCAATCTCTAGTCCATGACGAATCTGTACCCATCAAAGTAAGAGAGACAATTTCACGAGGATGAGGTTATATCGATGATCTCCATAAAGGTCTAGGGCAATCCTATGAGATCCAACAGAATTTTGATTCAGCGCTAAGGAAATCGCTTCCTGTCGAATTAGCGGGGTATTAATGCTACTTTTAGCGTCAAATGATTTCATTCAAGTCATCAATGTAAAGAGGATTTTCAGGAATAATAACATACTCATTCCAGTTAATATCACTCGCATCAGCGTCTGGAATGATGGTTTCCTTACTGTATATATTCGTCATGCCTGAGCCCGGCATTGGCACTCCTAATGAGTCGGAATCGTCTTTGACGGGTCCTCCGCGCCCGGCATGCCTTTCAGCCAACTTCCTCCTCAAACGCTCTTGTATCCATTCCTTCCTTTGTTGAGACGACATGCTTCTTTTTTTTAATAATACTAATATAGTAAAATACAGAATAGTACAATATGTCTGTTGCCGAATTGGTAAAACTATTACAGAAGGGCAACACTGATGTAACTGATTACAACTCTGAGCAGGTCGAACGTGATGTGTTTTGGAGAGAGAAGAGAAAATGGGTTGATTCAAAGTTACCTACAGGCTATTTCAAGCACCCATTGTTAAACAAGTATCATTCATTTGGTAAGGTAGATACACAATTTGTCAGTGACCCATACTATATCGAAATTGATAATAGATGCTTCGGTGAACTAAGGGATGCTAACGGCCGGTCTTTGGATCCTGATACCTTTCGGCCAGTTGTTTCAGATGCAGAACTCAAACGGATGGCTTCTGGGCGTTCAGTTGATTACCATCCCAAATCTAATCAAGAGACTCGGTATCCGATAATCCATGGTCGCGATGGATACAAAAATGACATAGATTTGATTGCATGCATCCGACGAATGCACGAAGGTTATGAAGAGTTTATAAAAGAGGAAAAACGTAAGGAATTGGCTGACATACAGCATTTCCACTCTTCACATGGTATTCACAATCCTGGGGAGAGTTTGCTAGAAACAACTGGCTTAGGAACGCGGGGCACAGACATTTCTGCCTCAAGAGATGAATACAACATGCAACGTGGCGTGATACGACCTACTCCTGCTTTGTCTGAGAACATCTTTTATGAGGAAGGAGGCATGCCACCTACACAATTAGTTCTACATAGGCGATCTGAATCACCAACCTCAGGCTTACCATCACTAACGCCGATGGATGCATCACCATCTCCATCATCAACTGCATTTGACTTCACAACAATGCAGCCATCGCCAAGGCTTCATGAGAGAAGAAACCCGAGAGATTCATCCTTGCAGGAAGTTTACAATCCAAGAACCGGTAATTGGATTAGAAAAAATGGTAAGGTACACAAGGAACTTAAGAAAGAGTGGGCGAGTAATTCTTATAAGGTACCATCATCATGGACAAAAGAACCTCGCTAAGCATATTTGGGTTTTTTTATTTTCTATTTACAAAGCTAAAATGCCTAAAAAAAAGGAATCTATGCCGGCGCAGAGCCAAATGCCGGCAGGCATACCTGACCAGGACATTACAGATGAAGAACAAAGTTTGAATGATGATGATGAAACTAATGACGATGATCATCAAGACTATGTTCAAGAACTTGTAAACAAATATGCCGGCGCAGAGCCAAATGCCGGCAGGCATGCCGGGCGCGGAGCGGCCAATCCCGGAGAGGTCAATACCAGCGCTCCCAAAAAACATACTGCATCAGAGAAGCAGCGAGCACATTTAGAAAAAAGCCAAGAAAAGGCTCTTCAGGTTAGACGAGAACTTGCCGCCAAGAGAAAAGAAGAGAGAGAACTAGAAAAGAAGAGAAAAGAGGATGAACGGATTCTTGCTAAGGCCGAAGCCCTTAGAGTGGAACAGGAAAAATGTGTCGAGGCTAGGCTCCGCAACTATATGAAGGACTTACAAAGTCACAAGACTAAAGCGAAGTGAATTAAAATGCCAATACCGAAAAAAAGACGGCAGATTGTAGTTGAGGAATCGTCAGATGATTCTTCAGATGATGATGATTATGAGGTTCTTAAAGTCATCAAGAGAAAGAGAACTCGCCCTGTTCATCCCACTCGCGCAGATGTAGTCCGTTTTAAAAATGGACATGAGTATGCCGGGCATGGAGTGGCCAATCCCGGCAGGGATCCCGGCGCAGAGCCATATCCCGGCAGGCATGCCGGGCACGGAGTGGCCAATCCCGGCAGGGATCCCGGCGCAGAGCCATATCCCGGCAGGCATGCCGGGCACGGAGTGGCCTATCCCGGCAGGGATCCCGGCGCAGAGCCATATCCCGTCTTTGATGAGATTGTATAGACCAAATGTCGGCATGCAATTCATTTTCTAAGCTATGATGATATAAAGGAATAAGAAGATGCCTTTGCCTAATAGCATTCAAGGCACATATACGGTTCGAAGAAATTTAGAAGTCCTAGATAATTTCAAGTCCGGAAAAGTTAAAGCCAATTCTATCTATGGAGAGAGCCTACGAAATAAAGATGGTATAGTCACTATACTCGATTTGGATAGTCAAACGCCCAGTCTCTCCATTCAGAAAAATAAAGGTAAATATACCATCTCTCTTGCCGAGACAACTTATGTTTTTCCATTAATTAATGATGAACATGATGTCAGGCTTGTAACAGACGATACTCTGCTTATAACAGAAGACGGCTTATCTGTTAAACCAGAGACACTCCTGCAACCTCTCTATAGGGCTCCCAACTCACGAACAGTAAGCCTAAACATTGATGATGATGAACTAAAAGTTGGGGGTGGAAAATTAACAGTCATACCTTATAACTATGATTTTCCACTCTACAGGGATGCCGAATCACATACGGTTGGTTTACAAGCAGATGATACTTTGCTTATAACTGAAAACGGTCTATCGGTTAATTTTCCTGATCCTGAGATGCTGAAAAAGCCGTTGTATCGTGACCAGAGCGGCCTTGGAATCAAACTTCATAAAAGTCTAAAGGTGAACAATAATGACGAATTGGAAACTAACATTCAGTCGGTACTAAAAGCATTTGGCGCTCTGAAATCGAGTTCAGGTGCGGATATGCTGTTAGACATCGGGTCTTCATGGCTCGACTTTGGATTCAATAGTTTGACCGAAATGACTGATGTGTTAGGAGAAGTAGACACCACAGCAATTCGCTTAATGGTCGATTCTTCTACATTCAGTCAAGCGGGATCGAAACTTTCATTACGATCACCTGGCTATGAACAAATCCTGTATGGGAACCTTACTTATGGCTACTCGGGAAGTTCTTCATTCACTTATTCGTCCACGCTTCAGGAGTTGTGTGTACCAAATGTCAAATTAACTGGAGTATTTCCTGCTATTGGAGGTGGCTCATATGCAGTGAGTAAAGACTATCTTTCCCAATTTTATCAAGGCTCTCAAACAGGAGTGCTTGCAGTGGGACCCGAGTTTAACGGACGTCGAGAGATAGGCTGTTTGGTCGATAATCAGACCATCAGAATTGTTGGAAATGCACTCACAGGTGGGTACATTTTTCAGGACTTTAATGGCGTATCTATTCGACCTGGAACGACCAATGATGTGGTATTATCTCTTAAATGCGAGGCTGGCAGTTGTCTCCAAATGGTCAAAGCAGATACCATTAAAGATGTACTGACTTGCAGCAATGGTATTGAGAGAGTACAGAATGACCTTCAACTCGATCTAAAAGTTGATGCTAATTCAGGTTTGGCTATGGTCAACAGGGGAACCATACGGGATACCTTCACAGCCTCCCAAGGGGTAACCAGGACGGGGAACGACTTCAGACTGAGTTTAACAGCACAGTCACCCGATCTTACTCTAAACAATGGTGTTCTGAGTTCAAACATCGCTGCGGGAATTGGACTGCAAAAAAATGGTGCGATTTTGTCAACAAACCTAAGAGGTATCAATGGAGTGCAAGTTAGCGGTGATTTGATTTCATGTTCGATTTCAGGAAGCGATACTATTCTTCGCGTAGGCGATACCTTAAGAGGTAATTATGTGGGCAGTACCAACTCATATGGAAGTATTATTGTTGTTGGAAATATGATTCAGTATAACATGATTCCTCCTCAATTCGTAAGTAACAGTCCAAATCTCATCATTACAGGTTCGTATCCACTTTATAACTTTACCCTCATTGACCCTATGCCATTATCAAAGCAAAGGGATACCGATAATACTGAACAGAGTGATACCGCAGAAGTGTTAAAAATGGATGTTCCATCAGGCAACACTGTTATTTTGTCCGGAGCAACTCCATTATCAACCGTACCTTTTCCAGCGATGGTCTCCCCACCCTTGACAGTCCCTATGGCTGTAAACTCCATCCTCCCAATCGTCTCAACGTTCCCTTGGGGAATGATTTTCGGAGGGTCATGCAAACGTAAGGTTCAACGAGATGCGGAAGGCCAACCTATACTCGATGGCGATGGAAACCCCGTTTATGAACCAATAGACCCTGTTACCTTCATGCCACCACTTGAACCCGGGAGCAATGTCACAATTGCTTCTGATCCCATAGGAGGTTGTACTCGTCTCTTGTTTGATACGCCTTCATGTTATTGAGGCATCAAATACGAATACCCTCAGCAAGCAATTAACCTCTCTATGCTAAGGGATTATGATACCGAAGTCATCAAACCTTGGGTTGGAAGCCAGATAACGGCATTAACTTCGAATAATGTGACATTCAGTGGTAATATCGGTGGTAAAGTAATCAGTGGAACCAGATTGAATATTTCTCCATCTATGACAGGCACTTCATCGGTCACGACATATTCAACATTCGATGGAACTAAGAGTTCATGGTTCGGGCTCGATGGAACAGGATTCTTAGGATACAACCCCGGTGCTTCAACATGGCTCGGTGCTCAGGATTTACCCATGTTCATATATCCTAGGACATCTAGCACGCCTACTCTAGGTCTAAGAGTGGACACAAATGGTTCATGTGCTGTAGGGGGCGACCTAACAGTTGGAGCCTCTTCTGTAAACAGTTTACGTTATCTCGTTTTGAGCAATACTAATACAGGAGGAAACGCATGTAGTATTCTTTGTCTTACGGCCTCAGGAGGGTCTGGAGTGATGTTTTTGAACGGAAACAACCGGAGTGTCGATGGAGGGCAAAACACAATGACATTGAGAAACGATATTGGAAATCTTCGGCTCCAAGCACAGACCGCTAGAGGACTAACAATACAGGCAAACACTGGAATTGTTACACTGGATAGCACAACAGTATCAACATCTTCAACAACGGGTGCCCTAGTTTGTCCTGGTGGTGTCGGTATTGCAAAGGACATATTCATTGGTGGTAATATCTATGCCTCCACCAATATGAAAGTAGCAACGGAAACATTCGTTATGACTGGATTAGCATCGAAGCAAAACTTATCTCCTTTGCTCGACAATATCAGTAGTCTGACCCCGACTGATGGCACTTTTTTGATGGGTGGAAATGGTGGTTTTTTCCGGATTGTACCTAAAGATGAAATCCTCAGCGCATATCAGCCGTTGATTACACCAGCGAGTGTCCTTAACCTTAGCGGTCTAACGGTACAGAATTCAAACACCAATGCTACGGCAATCACACTAGGAAATTCTAGCGCTGCACAGACATGGAATATCCATGTGGCTGGTTCATCGAATGGAAACCTAATTTCTGGAGCATTAGGCTTTTACTCGTCATACCAAGATAAAGGATACATATTCTGAATTGACCCATCAGGTAATACGGTCGTGAGTGGAGGCCTAGGAGTATCAACTGATGCGTATATCGGTGGAATGGCTTACATCGGAGGTCTCGAAGTTGCTTCTCAAAAATTTGTAATTGATAACACTGCTCCAATAAGTCAATCCTTGTCTTCATTGACAACGACGGTAACTAATAACAACAATTCCCTCACTTCTGCACTCGCCTCGAAGCAGCCTATGAACGCTACAACTAATAGCCTGTACACGATGATGGTGCAGCCAGACAGTTGGCTTTATTCTTCTGCTGGGACTACATTCGAGAATGTTACTTCCAGTCAAGTGAAAGGCATCCTCGATATTGCTACAAATGCTAGCGTGAACACACTTCTTTCTGGGAAACAACCCAGTATCACAACATCAACAAATCTGAGTCTTGCTTCTGTTACTGCAAATGGTTATTTGAGTGTTCAAAATGGCGCCAATCCCACCTTTATGTCACTGGTAAATACTTCATCAAACGTGACTTGGGGTATTCGAGTTGCAGGTTCAACCGCCGATGGCTCTAACCCAGCAGGCAGGTTCGGAATCAACTCTTCATATAACAACATTGGCTATGTGTTCAAGATTTCTAATACCGGTATTACACAGATAACAAATACCTCACAATCGACTAGTTCGACTACAGGAGCACTTCTAGTAAGTGGTGGTTTAGGTGTTGCCAAGGACTTGTATGCTGGAGGAAATGTAATTGGTAGCACCTCTGTGGATGCTCCAAACTGGGTGCAATCTAGAAACATTTCATCTGGCGTAAACGCATACACTGCTATTGGTTGTTCCAATGATAGCGGAAATGCAGCCTTACTTTTTCTCAACTCTTCTACAAGGACTGCTGATGGCTCGTCAAATAACGCTACTCTTCATAACGATTGTGGAGACATGAACATCCAAGGGAAATCTGGTCTAGGATTAGGTCTGCGGATTGTTTCTATTTCAAACGAAGTTAAGGTGTTGACTGCTACAGACTCCTCGTCTGCAACAACAGGGGCTTTACAGGTATTAGGAGGTGTAGGAATATCGAAGACTCTGTGGGTTGGTAATAAGGTAACAAGTGGGAAAGGAACAGGGTATGGTTTTGGATGGGGTAGCATAGGTGGAAATGTCAATACTGGTGACATGACATTCTTCTCCCCATCTTCGAATGGCCAAGCCTTCTTCAACGATCAGATTAACGACGTCTGCCTGAGGGCGTGGAATACGAACCTGAGATTCGGTGTAACAAATAGTTCATCTCAACTAGATATTCTCTCATCTGGGAATGTCATTGTAAATACAAGCACAGATGCTTCATCATCAATCACAGGTGCGTTCCAAGTAAAGGGAGGTGTTGGAATATCGAAGAATCTCTACTGTGGAGGGAGTCTGTACTCCAATAATCTGAAAGTTGCAACCGAGAGTTATGTAGGGGCAGCCATTGCTTCAAAACAGACATCGAGTCTGCTCCTAGATTCCATTAGTGGAGTCACACTATCTGCAAATTCTTTCATTTTAGGGAGTTCTGCAACGACATTCGCGGTGAAAACTCCTGAAGAGGTGAAGACATTATTAGGCATTACAAATGTCGATCTCTCAGTGAAGCAAAATGCATCACCCTTACTCTCTACTCTCGCTGCGATGTCACCAATGAGCAATATGTTTCTCATGGGAGATGATGTCCAAGGATTCACTCTCACAAATGACGTCGCTGTGCGAAGTATTTTAAACATTGTTGACTATGCCCCCAGCATATCAGCACTGCAAACATCGAAACAAGATTTACTCACACCTACCAGCAATCTGTCGGTAAATACAATTCTTGCTAATGATACATCCGAGGCAACAACCGTATCAAGTGGGGCTCTACAGGTAAAAGGAGGAATAGGGGTTTCTAAAAGTATCTTCTCAGGTGGAAACATTACAGGAAAAGTTCTCATAGCCGCCTCTACAGGTGGATATTTCAAGTTGAGAAGTGATACTCCTGCAACGAAAGGTGATTATACTATCGGCTATAACAATTCCGGAGACGCCCTTCATGTTCACCTCGCCGGCTCGTCTGATAGCATAGACCAACGTCGTTATGAATTCGGTCATTATTCCAGTGATACCTTTGGAACATGGAATAGCCGATTCTCAGTTAACACCTACACCGGAGACCTCATCTCGTCCGGTAATCTAACTATTGGTTCGCCACTTAACAGGTTACGGGCTATTATTCTTAAAAACCTTGATCCTGGAAGCAATAGTTGCGCAATCCAATACTTCCAGAATGCCGCAGGGAGTGCTGTTATGTTTTTGAATGGGAACAATAGGACTGTGGATGGAGGCGTGAACACCTTCACAATCAGGAACAATGCAGGTGCGGTGCGATTGCAAGCGCAGGGAGCGAAGGGTATTACTATTGCATCGTCGACAGGAAATGTCATCATTGAAAGTACCACTCCGGCTTTATCGAGTACAACAGGTGCGTTGGTGGTGAATGGAGGTGTTGCTATTGGTGCACATGTTGTTGCAGGAGAGAATCTGTATTCGAACGGTGCTGTCTATAGCAATGGTCAGGTTTGTGCTACTCAACCATGGGTTTCCAGTCAAACATTTCTAAGAAATGTTCAAGTGTTCAAACTTTTGACTAAAGACGTGTGGCAATCCAACAATGCCTCGAAGGTCTTCTATGTTTCAACACCAGGTAAAGTACTTATGGAGTGGACGGTCAACCTCCATGGCACAGCAAACTCAAATGGTACATTGTCAATATTTCTCGGCCAAAGCGCTGGGTCGATGCCTCTCGTGTACTCGAGCGACTTTAACTTTAATTCCGGGGTCAATCATACAATCACAGCATCATTCATTGTTACAGGGATGGCCGATAACGTTGCTTACTTCACAAATTTTAGTATCAGTCAGGCTGCTCCCGATAACACAACTGATGTTTCCCTCATTAAAATCACTGAACTCGGACAATAGATGACGCGCGCACTGCCATCATTTAAAAAAGAAGCTATGCAAGATAAGAATGCGACGCGCGGATATTGAAAGTCATTCAGTTTTCAATATAAGAGATGCTGTAAAGGATGACATGGATAAATTTTGGAAATTTTGTGAAAGTATGTTAAGAGGGGACAAGAGCAGGGTAATTCTCTATTTACCCCAAACACCTGAAAATGAACATATCTTTCAAGAGATTCTCTCCATCGTCCACTTGAAGAAACTCGACCAATTATGCTTCAAGCGTAGTGGTTATCTCGCTATTCTCAACAATTTTGTATTGTTGGGTCATTCGAGAAACGAACGGCTGTTTTTTTTAGAGATGAGAGTCAAATAGAATGCATTTCATATCTGTACGGTCTACCAAAGACGACTTTATAACCATGTTTGATGACCTACATCAAGGATCATTCAAAAACATGATCAAAGACTTCTCTGATATTCTACAAACGAAGCAATTCTCGCTGTCATTTCAAGACCCTACATTATCTGATACAAACCATAATGGCTTCATAAATTATTCGTCTATAGCATTTTTCAGAAATCGAAAGCATCTTATCACCATAAACCTGAAAACCCTAATGCCTGTCATCAAGGATCCTACGCTAGATAAAAGGGCGATCTGCAAATGCATATTGCAGCATCAGGAAACTCTATTGGACATGGATGACCACATTATGAATGTGGGGAAAGAATATGCTCAGTTGAAGAATATTGCTTCTAAAGGTACTTAAAACGCACGCTGAATAATCTTCCACTCATTATAATAAAAATGCGCGTTTCGATGCGTTGCGATACTTGTACAGGCTTTAAAGAATATCAACTCTGCATATGTCTGAAATGCGCTGTGTATTCCTGCTATGAATGTTTGGATAAACTAAAAAACTATTCGCATGGTCGAAATCATGCTATTGTTCATCATGATTGTCAACAGTACATATCTACCGCTTTCGCCGCTCGCCGTGCCGGCATGCATGAAGAAAGAAAACGAAATCCCAGGGCTACATGTAAAAAAAGTAGCATCAAAAGCGGCGGAAGATGCCGTCAGGGATGTAGGGAAGAGAATGTTTCCAGAGCATGGTATGCCTCGAAGGTAATGTTGAGATGGGATGAGTTCTGACGCCTGAGTTGCCTACATCTTCTGTGGATTTTTGTGTAAACAAGGAAACCAATGTTGCCATTTAAACATGTGGATATTTCTATTCTTTTTGCAATCTTGCTAGGAAAATGGGGACATTTCTCATCCCTACATGTCTCTACATAATTTTTTACTTTCCATAAGCTTCCAATTTTTACCATTGGTTTTATCCTGTGGCACTTTCTTCCTGGGAATATTTTTGATGAAATTGTCTCAAAGTGCCTCACTTTGTAGTTGCGGTGCCTTCCATCAACGCCTTCTAGTCGGTAGATTTAGGCAATGTACTCAAAAGCCAGACCAAGACCCAAACACAGCCTTGCTGGACGCTAGCCGTCATCGCTCAGCTCTGGGCACCTGTGGTACTAGACACAGGAGCCTGCGAGTCTCTGGTTTCCGACACGTACCAGGGCCTTCTGTTCTCCGAAACCAATTTGCAGGATGCAGAAACGATGGCTTTCAAAGGCATTGGTGGACGTATCTCATCTACCAAGACAGTATGCCTCGAAACTTCCCTCAGAGGCCGCAGAGGAGAATACCTGACTTTCCGTGCCTATTTCCGAGTCATTGCATACGGGAAACCTCTCATCATCCTAGCCAACGATGTTCTGGGACATTTGAAACTCCAAACCTTGGTTCAGGAACCCCCGTTACCCAGTTTCGCGGTGATGCTCAAGAATCCGGACATCCTTATCCCTTGCTCCATAACGGATGAGCTGGACACCGATCACATGCGCGGCATGCCATACAAGACCAAGCAGGGTGAATTCATGAAGGATGTGTCAATGCCACGGCTGACCAAAGCCAAAGCTCAGAAGTCTAGATTAACCATGTTAATCACGGGACAGATGCGCGTGGCAGCCCAAACTTTTCTCATCGAAAACCCTCTTGAGGCCACCGCTGCTAGCTCAACGGCCCCGTTAGGCCTCAAACTGTCCACCGCGACCCATAATTCGGTTGCGGACCCCGAAGAGAACATTTCCAAAGAAGAATGGCAGACACTTCAGAACAAATGGAACCTCGACTCTACGGAGAGGGCTCCAGGGGCCTTCGAAGCCCAATTAAAAGACACAGAACGTTTCCACATCGATCTCAAGCGACCCAAACCCGTGGTCTGGGCCCTAATCAACATTCTATGACACTTCCATCAAGCCTTCAGCTATGAGGGTCATCTCATAGGGAACTACACCAAGATTCCTTATGTGCCTCGATTTATCTTGGCTCCGCCACCCCTTTCGAGGCCACGGTCGTACTCTCCGTTGGAGCGGACAGCCCTTGAGACGGAGCGAGACACCATGATGGGGCTTCAGAGGTGGAAACGAACCACCGAAGTAACCTTTGCCAGCGATCCTGTTATCATTCGCTACACAGACAAACCCCTGCGGGTAGCCTTCGACTATCGCCGAGCCAATGACTGCATGGCCTGGGACCCATATCCCTTTCCCATCATGCTCGACATCCTGAACTGGATCATCACAGTCCCATTCCGATACATATCGGGAGGTGACGCAAACAAAGGATTTTACCAAATCGCCATCACCGATGCGTCGGTACGCAAATGGCTCGCGATCAGACTCCATGACGGCATCTACGAACCACTCTTTATGCCCTTCGGACCCAAGACTGCCCCTTCGCACTTCTGTCGGGTGATGGACGACACCTTGGGTCCCTCCAAATGGTGAAATATCAACAACTTCGTCGACGATATCCACACACGAGTGGAGACAGCCGCGGAAGCCCTAGACGCCATCGCGGACTGGCTCGACTGCTTTTCCAGAGCCAAACTCACCCTAAGACTCGACAAGTGTCAATGGCTCTTTCACCAGCTCATGGCTCTCGGTTTCGTTGCCTCCTCTCAGGGTCTCGCTACTGATCCAGACAAGGTCGCAACCATAGTCGATTGGCCACGACCCAAATTCATAGGTGACCTATGGTCCTTCGTGGGTCTCCTAGGGTTCTATGCCCAATTCATCCCCCGCTACGCGGAACTCATCCGACCCCTGCAAGACGCTATCCAAGAGGGCATTCGCGAATACCGAGACCTTAAAAAGGGTCGTGCTGACCCAAAGAAAGGCGCTGAAAAGCTCAATTCACCATCCATGCTCGACACGGCGGTGGCCCCTACAATCACAGCCACTGGAGTCCGATTTGAGGTTTCGCAACATCCGAAATCTAGCTCCTCAGACCTACCGGCGGTCAATCTATGCCAATCATCGTTGGTGGACTTGCCCATTGACCCCTTTTGTGTCAGACGCCTTGCTCGCAAGTGCCCCGACCAAGGTCTGTGCAGATTTATCGCGAAGCATGAAGTTTCATGGACCGATTCCCGAAACTCTGCCTTCACAGCCGCCAAGCAGGCTCTGACAACAGCTCCAGTGCTTGCGGCACCCAGAAAAGGGTTCCCCTACACCCTTCACAGTGATGCTTCCTACACAGTGTTTAATGTCATGCTCGAACAGTTACAGCCGGATGCTTCTAAACGCCCGCTGTGCTACCATTCCTGAGGCACCACCACCTCGGAAAAGAAGGCCCCCCCTGTCGAACTCGAGGCCGGATGCCTCATTTGGGGCCTCAGAAAACTCCGCCCATACCTCGAAGGCCTGCCTTTCATGGTCATTACCGATCACCGAGCTCTTTTGTGGCTCGCTAAATACAAAGGTGAGAACCGTAAGCTTCTCCGCTGGGCCCTCGATCTTAGTTACTGGTCTGAATGGATGACAATCGTTCACAAACCAGGACGTTTTCACATTGTCGCTGATACACTTTCACGGCTACTAGGAGCAGAAACCCTCCTCTGCTCCAGCGCGACCCAAATATGGGTGGCGGAACGCGGAAGATGACGGCTGCGCACCACACCAGCGGCTCTCGCACCTTCCTTGACACTGGCAGATGCCGCCTTCCGTCTGGCATTACAGCCTGCACTCATTGCCGCCATCTGCACTGGCCTCACCGGCCAGCTCCACCCCATAGCCCAACAGGCCCGCACGCTCCTATGGGAGACCAGCCCCGACACCTACACTACAGCCGACACACGCTTTCTTCAGGACTGGCAACGTGCAGATAACCTGCTGTGGCACCGTTTTTCAGTCTCCAAAGACCTTTGGCGCCTCTACGTGCCCCCTGCTTGCACCCCCAAGGTGCGCAAGCTTTTTCACGAGGGGGGAGGACACTTCGGATTCGAAAGAACCTATGCCAGAGCCGCAGCGCAAGTCTGGTGGCCAAAGATGGCACAAGATTTCAGAAAACACTGCGCAGGATGTGAAATCTGTCAACGCTCAAAAAGGGTACCGCAACTGATTCCGGGGTTGCTGAAACCCATACCACCAGCTCCAGGATGCTGGACAGTCATCACGACTGACTTCGTAACCAAGCTCCCACTTACTTCCAGAGGGTACGACGCCTTTTGGCTAATAGCATGTAAATGCTCAAAGAGGATCCACGTATGGCCCCTCAAGAGCACTGCGACAGCTATTCAGGTCGCGGAACTCTTTATAGAATGCTACGTCCCATTGCACGGCATTCCGGAGACTATTATCTCGGACCACGACCCCAAGTTTACGAGTCGATTTTGGCAGGAGGTCTGCAAAAACCTAAAGATTAATCAAGAGCTCACCACAGCCTACCACCCTCAAGGTGATGGACAATCAGAGAGAGACAACGCAACGGTCTTGCAGGTCCTTACCACAATGGTCAACACCCGATTAGACGACTGGGACACCTTTCTTCTGGTTGCGGAATTCATTATCAACAATATGGTACATGAGGCGACAAAAATGACGCGATTCAGAATGGACCTAGGCTATGAGCCCCACAATCCACTGGCGGATATCGTCGAAAGGCCGTC